TCTGGACAAAAAAAACGCAAACTTTTCCGACCGAACCTACTGTATATAAACAATGAGCTGGCAGTTATACGCAGACCGTGATTTTAGTATCAAAGTTGCCAATTCGAGCCAGTTTGTCAGTTTCCAACAAGTTTGTCACTTCTGCCTAATGCTTTGCATCAGGCAGAAATGCAAGTTGAGAAATAAAACAATGGCAACTGCAGGCATGGCGATGATGCAACCGCCGACGCCTATAATGCACGTGAATATCAACAGTTACTACGTCAGCGGTTTTCAGGCGCCGCTAACGCTTGTGAGAAATCCTGTGGTCTATTCGCAGCTAAATTTCACAACCTAAGGACATTAGTCGGCCGCGCGTAACCCTAGGATTGTGAAATCTAACTGGGAATGGACCGCAGGATTTCTCTGGACCTTCAAGAATTGGTTCAAAAGATTCAGCATATGATGTTAACGGAGCGGAATTGACACTTAAGAGTAGACCTGGGGATAAAACATAACCTGGCATTTCTAATTTTTTTACAAAAAGCTAACACATAAAGTCGTTCTCAACATTTTTATCAATTATACGCATCTGTACAATGTATCTGTGATATCGAAAGACTAGCCAAATGAAGAAAGACCGGGTGCAGCATCGATTAAGATGAAGGGATGAAAACGGACTACTAAACTCCCTGAAGCTGACAGCAACAAAAACAATGGCAGAACATGTAATAACAACTAGATATCGTGATTCACCTCAAAACCTATGTCATTGCTTCTCTGATTTCAACGCTTTTAAGCGAGCTTCCTTTTCTTTGTAATATAAGAAGTCCTCCATTTCTTCATGTAAAAGCCGAGGGGTAGCGTTACTCCATGCCTAGAATCATAGCAAAAGACGAGGTGGTACTTGATAAAAGAGATTTTTTTTAGAAATGGTGGCAACAAATGATGTATCTTTAGACGGCAGCAAGTTGTGCAACTACACAGCCTGAGCAGCAAACTATAGTTTTGGCTAATGCACCTTGCTCAATCGATAAGATGATTGCTTATTACAAAGAATTGCCGATACTAAGAACTTGTTCACACATGTAATATGTTTGTTTTCGGATTTGAATATGAGTCGTTAACTTGCAGAAAAACCGACTATTAAATTAAGCAAAAAATTGTAAATATGAAATGATAAGTAAGTTTGAAAATTCACAGAATAACACTAAGAATAAAAAAGAACAAAAATTTTTCAACAACCTGGCAAAAAACAGAAAGAAAGAATTCATTAATCTAAAAGAAGGAAAAAATACCTTGAGCATCATAGCAAACCGATAAGTTCCATAAGCAAGCGTTGAGATACCAATAGCTAGACCAGTTGCGAAGAGATGGGCACGAAACCTCGAGAAATTCTGGCCTATCATAGTTTTGTAATAGAGAAAGGTGGAAGTTACATGAAGAGCAATGCTACTACGCGTTCGAAGTTGCCGTCATTGCAAATACCCGAGTGCATGTGCAGAACTTGCTTCTAGACGACGTCTGCAAAACGGGTTTGTCCCAAACCTTAATATAGAAGGTTCCTTTTGGAAACGGACCACTTTATGATCTTTAAAAGAAGTTGTGTAGTGCTATGTCAGTCTAACATTCTGTCTTCCTCCATCTTAACATCATATCTTACGAATTTATCCTGAAGAAGCTCGATGGGAAATTTCTGGGAATTTCCGTTTCCAGAATTACAAATTACCCTATTAGTTTTACAGTAGTTTGAGCTATATAAATAAGTTAAAGGGGGAAGCGTGTTTTAGGTTTATCAATTTTAAGCACGACTCCATCATTTAGCAAAATTATATAATTTGCGTTACTCTATGCATAATCTACTGAATTTGCTAATACGTCTTTCTGAGAACGATCGTTTTCAACATCTTATCCTATGAATAAGGTCTACGATAATGACGAGATTCACTTTAGAAACTTCTAGCATTGCGTTGTTGATAAATTGCATCGAGGGTGGGCATTTGCTGAATCACCTGCTTCTGTAATTCAGCATTTCTTCGTAGAATGTTATGTTTCTAG